TTTCTCCAGGATTCCAGCCGCCGCTGTCTCTCAGTGTCTCTGAACAGCGCAGAGTCCCTCAGTTTCTCTCTCTCTCTCTGTGTGTGTGTGTGTCTGAGTCTCTCAATGTCCCCCTGGGTGCCGCAGTCTGAGAGTTTCAGCTGTTTCTCACAGTCTCAATGTCTCGGAATCTGTCAGAGTCTCTCGGTTTGGAGAATTTCTCTCGGTGTCCCAGCCCCCTCACAGTGAGGGAGGGAGAGAGAGTATGTCCCTCAGGCACAGCTCCCCATGGCTTTGACCAGCGAATCCTCGGGTAGTTGCCTGAAGAGGCCCCGGAGGGTCTCCAGCTCCCGGCTCAGGTACTCGACCCTCTTGCGGAGCCTTTCGTTGTCGCTGCTGAGTTCGATGACCCGGTGCTGGGTCTCCACGTTACGGAGCTTCGCCTTGTCCCGGCTCTTCCTCACCGCGATATTGTTCCTCTCCCTCCTCAGGCGGTACTCCAGGCTGGACTTATCCACCGGCTTCTTCCCTTTGGCCAGGCCCTGCCTCCCGGGGCTGCCCTGGGGAGTGGCCGGGGGGGTAGGCTGGCCTGGGGCTAGCTGTACCGAGGTCTGACCGCACTGAGCGACTTGCTGCTGGAGGGCGAACCCCAGTCCTGCCCTCGGCCGGAGAGGTTCCTCCTGCTCCCGGGGCTCCTGCTTCACTACCACCGGCCTCAGGCCACACGCCCCCTCCGCCTTACCGTCCAGGTAACCGTGTAACGGGCTGAAGGGCGGCCCTACTCTCCCACTGCCGAATGGCCTGGCCCCCTTAGCGCCGCCGCCGTGCTGACTGAAGAGATCGGCCAGGAACTCGTCGTTGAAGGCGGCGGGGTCGATGTACGCGCTGATATCGATGGAGTTCTCATGTTCCGCCATCTCCCCGAGCTCCGGGCCCCGGTAAGCCAGAGGTCCCGGGACGGGCACCCGCGGCTCCGCCTCGTAGAAATTCCCCTGCTCCATGGTTCGGCGGAAAAACAGCCGGGAATGAGCTCCGGGATACCGGCTTCTCCGGGTACCGGGGCTCACCGTGTACCCACCGCCCGGAGTCTGCTGTCTCTCACTGATAAGTGTCCCTATGTCCCCCTGACACTCACTGTCTCTGTCTGTGTGTCTGTGTCTGTGTCTCTGACACTCTGTCTCTGTCTGTGTGTCTGTGTCTGTGTCAGTGTCTCTGACACTC